ACAAAGCTGGCAGGCCGTGCGCCAACTTGACCCCTTCAGGTTTTGCTGGGATGGGCGGCCTTGAGTCCATTGGTTCAACTTGCCGATATGCACAACAAAACTGCGCTGCAGGGATAGCTGGCGCATGCTCTCTTGACTGCCGTTGGATTTAACAGTTGGTTTCAACAAGCGCTGTTGCGACGGTGGCTGCAACGCAACTGCCTGGCAGATCAGGCAAACTGCCAATGAAGTATGCGGGTTAACCATGAGCTGAATCGCCCGGAAAGGTCCCTCATTTGGCTTCCTTGATTCCAGTTGCCAACTCAGGAAATATGCCTCGCCCAGCTCTTGCTGCGTGAGCTGCATGGAGTCAAGCATCGGAGGAGCGAAGCTTGGCAGTAATGACACTCACATCTCGCATGACGGGCGGTAGCCAGAGGAAGCTGTCAGACGCACAATGTGGCACCGGATAGCAGCAGCGCTGCTGCAGTCTTGATGATTGTTTTTCTGCAAGCCTACAGCAAACACTCCCAGAAAAGAGGCTCTCTCACACCCAAGCTCTGGCGGCTAAACCGGGCGCTTCCAGCGCATAGTTTTGGGCAATCAACAATAACGCAGCGGTCGAAACTAAGGAATCCAAGTAAAGAGCTTCATCACGAGACTTCGCTCGTTTCACCCTGCGCCAGTGCCCGGTACAAAGTTTGCCAAAATACTTGATTGGCTGCCTGATGGGTCTGACAGGCCAACCGGAAAACACATCACGAAGCAAAGACAGCATGGCTGCGCCAGCTAGCCCTCTTGCAGCTCAGAGCTACCTTTGAGAACGATTGAGTATCAGAAGCTTGGCAACAAACACTCTGCTCACGGCTCGCACGAGAGGCTGCAAACGGCTGGAGCCAAGCGCGTGAAGCCTTGGAATATGTCGCAATCTTGCTGAATCGCTTCTACAAAACCTGCAGCAAACGTTCCATGTCGGCTGAACACGTTGCTGCTCTGCGCTCTTACGTCACCTACTTCTGGGCAAATTACAACAATGCGGCTGGAACTACTCAACACAAGCAGGAGCTTCATCACGAGTTCTTGCTCGTTTTACCCGTCACAAATTTGCCCAAATACTTTATTGCTGTTGCGACCACAGTCGCTTTTGCGTAGAAACCAACCGGTAAAACATCGCGGGAGTGAAGACGGCACAGCTGCGCCAGCTATCCCTTTTGCAGCCCGTGCGAACTACCTTTGAGCATGATTGAGTAACAGAGGCGAGCAAAGATGTGGCAACAAACACTCCGCTCACGGCTGGCGCGAGGCTGGAAACAGCTGGAGCCAAGCCCGTAAGGCTGTCGAGCGCACAGCTGGACACCTGACAGCAGCTCTGCTGCTGAATAGCTTCTGCGAAGATGCACAATGATGCAAAAGCGGGCCACCTTGCTGAGCCCCCGCACGCCTTTCCCACCACAATACAGGCGTGTCGGCTCGTGAACACGCCTGGGAGAGAAGATCCACCACGCCTTTGAGCGCGATTGAGTATCAGAGGCAAGCTTGCCGAACACTCTGCTCGGAAGCTGTCGGGCACACAGGAGGACACCTGACAGCGCTGCCGCGATCTTGTTGAATCGCTTCTGCAAGCGCAGCAGTAGACACTCACAGCAGACAGGTTGGCAACGACCACTCTGCTCACGGGTCGCGTGGCAAGAAGCCCACACAGCCTCGGAAGCTGCTTTGATATTGCTGTCGCTTCTACAAAACCTGCAGCAAACACTCCCGGAAAAGGGTGTTGGGGTGCGTGCTTACGGCGCCAACTTCTGGGCAGATTATAACAACGCGGATGGAACTAATGAACCCAAGTAAGGAGCTTCTTCACGGGTTTTCGCTCGTTTTACCCCGGGCCGGTAAGTCCGTCACAATGTTTAATCCTGTTGCAGTCGCTTGCGTGTAGAAACAATCGGTAAAACATCGCGGGGGTGAAGAGAGCACAGCTGCGCCAGCTATCCCTTTTGCAGCCTGTGGAAACTACCTTTGCACATGATTGGGTATCAGAGGCAAACAAAGCTTGGCAGCAAACACTCTGCTCACGGGCTGGAAACAGCTGGAGCCAAGCCCGCAAAGCTGTCGGGTACACAGGAGGACACCGGACAACGCTGCGGTAGCCACTCACAGCAGGCAGGTTGGCAACGACCACTCTGCTGACAGCCCGCGTGCAGGAAGCCCATGAAACCTCACAAGCTGTCGTGATCTTGCTGAGTCGATGTGTGCAATGATCCGAAAAAGACCATTTGCTGAGGCCCCACATGTCTTCCTACCACTATATACAAGCGCTCTAAGTGAAGCTCCAAGTCCTCTCGGCTGAAAAGGTTGCTGGGGCCTGCACTTACACAGGCCGTCAGCCAGGCGAATATGCCGCAACCGCAGGCGCTATTGGGACTTTTTTGCAGGAACACTTTCAAACATATGTTTCTCAGTTAAAAAAACGCACAGCTGCGCCTGGTTCCATCCCTTTCGCGGCGCGGAGCTCTCGAATGTTGAGTAACGGCGAGACCTGAACAGGTCTGACGCGCAGATCGAGCAGGATTTGAAGCAAGGCTTCCAAGGACATTACCAAAAAAGCCTGCTTAAGCTTCACACCTTTTACTTTTGAAAAAGCGAGCAGCCAGGGAGAGAGGTTGAGTACCCTCAATTCACGTACACCTGCTGCACCTTCTTTGCGAACGTTACGTCAGATCAGCCCCCGTCGTCCAGGCAAAGTCGCTGTCACAGAGGACAGCTCCAGACTCTGTGCGCTTCCTTGGGGTTTCCTTCAAAGCAAATCCAAAACCAAAGCAACCTTCATTTGGCTGCGGGGTACCCAAAATGGGTCCCCAAAATGGGTACCCAAAATGGAACCTGGGTTTTTGTTTGATGGTTAAATTTTGACCCACACCCATTTAGGAGAAGGGAATCTCGTGTCGACATGGACTCGGCCAAATCCAGATCTGTCGAAATGCCTGGCTCCTCAGGCGCGACAACTTAGGCTCTTGGAAAATCCGCGCCTCGGTCGCTGCGGAAGTGCGCTCAACAAGGCCCAATCAACAGCTGCAAGGACAATCAAGCGCGGACTCCGCGGCAAGAAAGATGACTGAAACTTGCAAGTCACTCGTATGCTTGCCCTCTCCCTCGGCACAGCGCAGCACTTAAACGAAGCAAACCTGTGAAGGTGCCAGAGGCGACGCTGGAAACAAGTTGGGCCCGGATGCGCTGCAAACGGCAGCTCAGCCTGGAACAGACGCACGAATGAACCAAGAAGACTCAGCTCCACCTACGATGGCAACTTCATGCTGCACGCCATCCAAGCTGTGAGCCCAAACTTCGGCTGGCAAGGCGCCTTGTGCACGACCGGGCACGGCGAAAAACGCAAACGGCCCATGGGAGCTCAACGCATCGAAATGCCTCGCTCCCGCCTTGAGGCTCATCTCAGCACGCCAGTGGCTTTTGCAGTCAGCGTTTCCCACCCTCGCCACATGGGAAGTGACAACTCCACCCTCTTGGTGTCTCTAAGCGCCCAAAAGGAAGCCACAGGGACTGAGTGCCTCTCATGCGGCGGGGAAACGTATACTCGGTCCGCGGATGGGTGCCAGGCTTTGCAAGGCGGACATACTTCATCCAACATGCTGATCAGATTGCAACGTGCGCGTGAAACCCCACAACCCGCATTTGCCAGGACGGGTTTCGCGGTGGCTGAAGATGCCAAAAACATCGATGGAACTTGACCGGTGGCTTTTGGTTCTTCGTTCAAGCCAAGCTGCTTCTTTGGTGTGTGAACAAGGCAGTGATGCCGTTGCCACAAATGTCCGGTGAGGCCATCACTTTGGCAGTCACGCGTCGTCGCACCAGGCGGCACGCTCAGCACGGCCCTTTAATCTGTGCTCCACCACCCGGCCAACCCAGTGCATCTGTGCGCAAGTCATCGGGCAAGATCTGGACATGCCCCACAAACCTGCTCACTTCTATTCATGACCGCGAAAGCGATGCCATTGCGTCGCAAAGCCAAGACCTGAGGCGTGACTTTGAGCCACGCCAATCGGCCCGCACCCCCCTGTGCCAAATCAGCTGCCCAACGGGCAATCAAACCTCAAAGCCTGCCTGAAATTCCGCACAGTGACCCTGCAAATCGCTCGAGAGAAATGATTGTGTCCAGACCAATCCAGCAAGTATCCGAATGGGTCTAATGGGAACCCGGATCAATCAACCCCAGTTTAGTAGGGGGTGGGGTGCGGGCCAAAAATCACTATTGCCCACTAAATGAAGGGACGCCCAATTAATAAACTGGGGTTGATGCAGCCTGGGCTCCCCACAGGAAACAAAAGCCAAGCTTTCCAGCTAGACCTCGCTTGCCTCGGACTCAGACCCAGGAGCTTCTTTGGGCGGAGGCATAGCTTTCAGCTGTTTAAAAGGGAAAAATGGACAAACCCAACATGAATTTAACAAATCACGGCAGGCATAAAGAGTGTCCCACCAAAGGGAGACAATGTTGCACATGAGATTGCGGAGACGAGACACACTCTCTCTCCCTGCTTGGAGAAGCATTGGTAAAAAGATTGCTCGGTCTTGCATGCTTTGTTCCCATGACAACACCAGCTCTAGACGAGCAATGGGAGTTTCACCCAATTGCTGGTGCTCAGTAGGGACCTTCCGGCTGTTGAGAATGAACCCGGAAGGGGATTTCCGAAAAAAGCTGAAGCTAAATCGGGGAGGCTTATGCTGAGAAAAGCGAAGGACACCTCTTTAACACATGTCTGTCGCGAAAAATTGACAGAATGTTTCTGAAAACTCCCTTATTCACTGGATTTCCCCAAATCAAAAGTTGATCAATTCTGGTGGTTTGCCTTGAAACTATCGGCACTGTTGGAGGTTCCCAAAAGGGAACACCGAACCTACGGATTCCCTTAAAGGAAACTATAAGAGATGGTTTACATGGGTCATTCCATTTCTCATTCCCTGCCTATCGCACCAGCAAGAAAAAATGTTGCCATCATCGAGCCCGAAAGGTCCTTCTCCGCGCTCAAAGCACCGTCGACTGCACTGAGCAGAGCCTTGGCGTAGTACCTCGTGTGACGATAACTGAAGGAAGCGACGGGTTTGGATTTGGGGATAGCTGCTTTTGTCCTGCATCTTGGTTCTTGTTTGGTGGGTTGCCTCATTTCGTCTGTTGCTCTTGTTTTCTTGTGTTTTCTTGTCTTCCCGAATTTGTGTCTCAGACCCTCGCTTGTTTCGCTTCCCCGTGTTTTGCTGTGCCCCTTCCCTTGCAGAAACCACCCCCCACCCCCCACGCCGACCCCACAGCGCGGATTCTTCGGTCCGAGGCGCCCTTCGCTCCAGGCCTCCTTGGCGATCTGGCCCTGGTAGGTGATCTTCAGCTCCGGCTCGTTGATCAAAATCACCGCCTGCGGTTCGTTTTCCAGATTTGAGAGGTTAGAATAAGGGTACCCATTTTTCTGTAGGCTAGTAGGGTCCCCCAGAAAAGGGTAAAAGGGCACTACTGGGGGCCCTTGTTTTGTCATGTTTTGTCGGGAACTGACTGAGTTCCGAAGTTGGGAAACAAAGATTTCTGGCGGTTTTCTTGGGGGAATAAATATCATCTTCTGATACATAGTGACAATCATTGATTCTGTTTTATTATACCACCAACTGACTGAACCAACTAGGTGTCCTTTCAGATCCACTTGGCTACAAAGTACTGACAACAAGCCAACTGGTGGTTAGTGGTGAGTGGTCCTGGGTTTCATGGGGGTGAGGCCCATAAAGGGTCTTTGGGCCGCACAAATGGGTTGCCCTGGTAAATGGAAGAGTAGACGAAAACCTGGTGTCCCCGAACTCTTCAATGTTGCTCGCCACACCGACGTGCTGCCGATCAATCGGGTCATTGTGGGAATGACCCAACCGAACCATCCAGCTGGGGGGTTCTGTTGGCCATTTTAGTAGCTTCTACTAGATTTCATGGGGGGTAAGGCCCATATAAACCTGCATAACCCAATGTTGGTAGACTCAAGGTCAATTGGTTTTGGGCATTGCTCAAGCCCCAAAGTGAACCAATGGTTTTTGACTGACTGAACTATCCTGACTTGCTGGTTCTCAGCCGGGAATGAGTAACAATATCCACAGCCATTAAAGGCCTCATATGCCAACCATTGCACATGGCATCGCCCCAGGGCGGTCTTGGCTGACTGACTGGCCTGACATGCAAGATCACCCAAGGACGAAGCGACCATGGCGCTTGCCGCTAGCCGGTGGTCTGAGAGTTGGAAACCTGTTCACGAACCATCCCCATGGACTTCCTGCAAATATCCAGCCCAAAAGAAACAGGCCAAAAAATGGGTGTGTCTCTTTTTGTTGAGTTGGCTTCCCTTTTTGGGTAGGTGTTGAAGGGAATCAGACAGGTTTGATGTGCAGGTCCAAGTGGTCCAGGTCTGAGTCTAGGTTTATCAACCAACACCCTACCTGGTTTAGGCTTGTCAACCCGCTCAGCTCCCCTGCGAAAAGCTTTTAATGAGTCGGTCGCATGGAAGCCTAAGGAACCGGATCGGGAGCCAAGGAACCGGATCGTGAAATGGCCATGGCTCAAAACCGGAAAGCCAAATCGGTTCGCCCCCAGGGAACCTCCGATTCAATCCAACCACTAAAATAGGTAACCTAAAATGGGGGGTGAATTCACCAATCCCAACCAAAATGGGATCCAAAACGGTTTTGACAACCACAGCCAAATCGAATGACAATCACCGGCTTCCCTTCGATTCGGCCTTGATGGCCGCGTGGAAACGTCGGGAAACGCCGCTCTTCACCGCGAAGCCCTTCTTCAGCATCGAGCTGTACTGCGCCCTTCAAAGCCAAAGCACTCCCCGGCGCTTTGGACGCGACCGTTTGCAAAGAAAAAAAGAACACACCTCAAGAAATGCGAGTTGTAAGGGCGACCATCCATTTTTGAGGAGGTTCACGAAAACTTGTATGTTTTTTGTGCTTTCAGGGCTCCGGGCAGGTGGCGCATGTAGTTTAAGACGATCTCGCGGCAAAGCAGCAAAAACCACCGCAGTGCTTCCAGGAGGTTCGCCACTATAGCAGGCAACCATGTGAATTTGCCTCTTGGCTTTACCATGTATGGCTTGCCCTGGTTGCCTACTTGTAGCGGCGAATCTGGCGAAACACCTGGAAGCATGGGCAAGGGCAAAAAAGGAGTGGACATGGATGGTCGAGGCATTGCTGATATTCAAATTTGTTGGAGTGGGAAAGAGCCAGAGCTTGATGCCAGGGCTATGCTGTCTTCCTGCACGGGCACAGGGCTGCCACTCGTTGATGCAGAAATGTTCTTGACCATTTGTCGATGATGCAGGGGATGCAAAAGCTTTGAAATGGACAATGCCGGCGATGCTGAGAATGCAGAGGGGGTGTTGTTTTGCTTTAATGTGCTAGGGATGCTAAATCCTGACCACATCTCTCCGCTTTCTTTCCTAAGTTTCGGGAGTAAACCAAAGAGCAGCCTCCAATCAGAGCATGGGTCAAAAACTTGTGACCCATTACAAACATGCTTCTCCCATAATCAGGGGGTAGTTTGGTCTAATAGTACTCCTCCCATCTCCCCGAAAGACTGACATGGTTCTTCCAAAAGAAACTCATCCATGGATTTGACCACCGGCTGGTGGACATACATCCACCCAAATTCTGATGGCCAAAGGGTCCCCAACCAAAACTCAAAGCCCTTTACCCTCTTGTCCACTTTGGTCTTCCAGGACCGATTCCTGACGTTCCATGTTTGTTGACAGGAGGGTTTCTCTCTTTTTGGGGCTGGGGATACCCGAAACGCCAGGCACTGCGAGCCTCACTTCCGAGAAGCAGTCGTAGGGCGGCTGGGTGGCGCACTTCCCCTTTGGGTCCTGGCTATGCCAAGAGGTCCGTTCCCTTCTCTGGTGATTTTCTGCTAGTGGCTTGGATTGAAACCGGTGAACTTCTGATGCAAGTTTCTAATCTGGTGGTTTGGAGTGGTGGCGGGAACTGGAGTTGGAATTTGAACGGTTCCTTGGTTCTGAGGGTATTTCGGAAGCCACCCAATTCACCGCCAAACCACCAATGCAAGCCACCAGCTAGAGTCTAAGATGGTGTCCACTACCCCCAAACCACAACCAAGGAAATTGGGGTATCTTCCCTTTACATATCCTGTTCAACCCTGGGGTAGTGGTTTGGGGATAGTGGAAGCCATCTTAGACAGTTCTAGCACGTCAAAACCCGAAGCAAACGAAGCATGGCAGAGAATGCACACTATCCAATGGCTGCAAGATAGCTGGTCAAACCGCCACAGTACATAAGGCTGCCTCAAGAAGCAGACCATGTTGCAGGCCGCCAGTGTTCTGAACGGCTGAAGCTCAAAGGACCATGCGGATGGTTGCAAAATCCATTTCCTTCTCGCACCAACGTTCCAAGAAAACCCAATGGTTTCTGATTTGATTCCCCAACGTACATACAAGCCTTATGTTCTTTCCCATGGTTTCATTAACTGTAGAGACCATCCACGGTATTTGCTCTGGATTGCTGTTGGGGAGGTGTCCTGGTGATCCGGCTTTGTGAATTCGGGGTCAACACCATCCAAACGCCCGATTCGGATTGATAGCACAGGTGGTTTTCCAAGCGTGGGCATGATACAAATGCTGGGGATTCAGAAGCAGGCATTGGCTATTAGCCCAGTTGACAGACCAGGAGCAATCTTGGGACCTACTGTAACAAGAATAAAACAACTAAAAAAGTAAGTTCGAAATGGGAGAGAAGGGTCAAACCCAAATAGGATTGGTGGGAGTGCTCAATTGCCTTCGCTGCAAAATCATCATATGGTGGGCACGTGGGGATGTTGCAACCACTTCTTTAGAGCACTGAGTTTCTGGGGGTTCGGCCTGCAAAACAGACTCCAGGTGTCCATAGCTCCGCCGGTGGGGGGGAATCGGTCCTCAGAACAACGAGAAGTGAGGCATTCGCAGTCCTGCCCTTTTTGGACACCCCAGTTGAATTCGTCTTCTTTTAGGGCACCCCCAAGATTTCCTTTGGGTTTCCCTTCAACACCACCAGAAAAAGGGGTACCATCCGAAAAAGACAAACCCATTTAGAGCTACTAGAGTGACGCTTTCGGAGCCTTGATACGGACTTCCCTGTCGTTGTTCCGTCCTGCGTGTAGGGGTAGTCTGAGATGGCCTCGGTACGCTCGAAATCTGTGGAAATTGCGCCCAACAAACCACCAAAGTCGCTGCATGTTGCTGATGTGCTTTGGTTTGGAATGTTTTGGAGCAAAAACATATGTGTTCATGTTGGTTTGTTTGCTTTGAAACAGATGGCCCTGGTATATGAATAGACCACCAGGTACCCCAGGCCCCTCTTTTCTTGGCAGAGGTGTGTTTGCCTAGGGCTGTTTTTTGCCCAGGGCTAGATTTCCGCCGGACCAGCAACATCCGAAGCATCACCAGCCTCACTTGGCCTGGGGGGGTGCCAGTTGCGAGTTGCTGGGGACTGGTTTAAGTTAGGGGGGGGTTAGGCTGGCTTAGATCTTCAGGAGGGTGGGTCTTGGGGGCCATCCAGCCTGCTGTTGGGATGGTTTGGGGTTGACTTTGGGTGGATTTGGGGTTGGCTCGGAGCTGATCTGGTTAAGCGGTGCCTTTAGGGTTGCTTTGGATATGTGGTTACGTTAGTTTGGGTTTCGTTTAGGATTGGTTTTGGAGAGTTCTTGCCTACAACTTACGCAACCACATTCCTAAAGCAACCCTAAAGGCGCCGCTTAGCCAGCAGCACACCCAGCACAAATCAGCTCCAAGCCAACCCCGAACACTCAAAGTGGGATGCGGCAATCCAGCCAACGCACCAACCCACCAACCCAGCAAACCCAGCAAACCCACCAACCAACCAACCAACCAACCAACCAACCAACCAACCAACCAACCATCCATCCAACCAACCATCCAACCAACCAACCAACCAACCATAGGGAACAAAAGCACCGGGAACAAAAGCACCGGATCCCCTTTTTTAACCAAACCAAAAATAAAGAACACGTTCAACTCACGAATCTGTTGAACAGACCTGGGTCTGACATGAGGGACGCCCCAGGAATGAACCGATCGAGCCCGGTGTCCGAAGACATGTGCGCCACAAAAAAAACGGCAACACCAAGCCATACCGATAGAAAGACCTTGGTCTATTTTCTCAGCGCGAAAGTTATCATCATGCGGAAACAAAAAGGGAAAGATCCTTCAGTCAGCGTAACAGGCAAGCTGCAGGGCTGGGCATTTTTTGTCTGGTCAGGATGTGGCGAATGTACTACACAAATCAAAACAAAACAAAAGAAAACTGAACTGTCTTCAGATCCCCTGCTAAAAGTGGTTTAACTTCTAGCGGCTTAAATCACAACCCCCACTCCCAACCTAAAAACTTCAGGAACCGGATGGCGAAATTTCGCCTCCCAGACTTCCTAAAGCGAAGGACGGCACAGCGCCAGGGCGCTACGATGACGCCGAGCCCGAGCTCGTAGGCGCGGTTCAGGAACTCCTCGTGGTCCAGGCGGGGGTCGTTGCCGTAGAGCCGCAGGGCGCCCACGTTCCTTCGCTAATGACCCCGGATCTATCAAATAACCTCCATGGCTCCCAACGCCTGAAACTTCCCTGCTGAGAAGTTTGAGGGTTGCTCCGAGCCTCAAACACATGAACAACACCAGAAGGGTAATTTGAACCCCGGATGAATAAACCCCTGAATATTAATACTGTGGATGGACAAAATCCAATTCGCACCACCTAAGAAGCCCTGATGATTCCCCTGCAAATACCAAGCGACCATGGTGTCCCATGGTTTCAAAGTGGTGCAGGATTTTATCCCTCCATAGTATGGGGGTGTTCCCTCCAAAAGTGATAAATCCCCACTGAAACCAGGGACACCCCCATCTTAATAAAGAGGGGTTTATTCATCCGGGGTCAACATTACCGAGAAACGTCAAGGCTGGCGAGCCACCGGAGGCCCACAAAAACATTTATGCATGTGGCTTTTTTGCCCCGTGGAAAAAGGGGATTCTCTTTAAAATAGAACCAAAAGCGGGAGTTCGGCGAGAAACCTGTTTGCCCACGCAAATAGAGTCCAGTACTTCCGAGTTCCACTTAAGACCGGCTCGCTTTGAATCGGGCCAATCCGAAACTCACTTCCAATTGGCAACCAACTGGTCATTTTTTAAGCCACCAACAGCTTTCCAATTCATGAACAGAACAGGACAATTGGCGCTTCTTAAAATGGGATGGGTCCGTCCCTAACGGTAAGGGTTCCTTTTGGTTTCCCTTAAAATGCCAAAGCGGGGTCCAGCATTTCAACTCCCAGCTGCGCGTGTCGTTTTTCAGGGGGCCCCCCAAAAATGGCTAGGTGTTCCTTTTGGCTTCCCTTCAAACCCGCCAAACAACAAAACGGCTACCCCCAAAAGAGGGACCACGCCCAAGCCTGGGGTGAGCACGTCCCGGTGTCTGCCATGTCTCAGCGCCCGGATGGCCCCGAGGTCGTCCCGGCCCTTCCACAGCGGCTCGGCCCAGGCAGCCATGTAGTCGTCAGTGAAGAAGTGGGTGACGTTCTTTGCCGGCGTGGGCGCGTAGCACCTGACAACTTTCTTCGGCTCATTTTGTGTGGTCGTGTGGTCGTTTGGAGCGGGAGGTGAAACGAGAGTGGGTTCCCGTCATTCGGAGCCTGGTTTGGAGGTGAAACGGGGGTGGGACCTGACAATTCGCCTCATGGTTTGGTCGTTTGGAGCCTGGTTTGGGAGGTGAAACGAGGGTGGGTTCCCCTCCACCCTCTACAAGAGCCAGGGTTCAAACCCCCAAACCACAGTCTCAGGCTTACCTCAGACCTTTGCTTCTTTGTGCTTCAGTGCTGTAAACTGTTTACACTCATGAAATCAGATTGCATAGCACCTAACTTACTATCACAAACTACAAACTACACAAGGGATCGCCGGTCCCTTCGAATGTCCTCCATGGGCGTGTGATGCGTGGCTTGGGGGATCTAGTCCTGCCATGTCCCAGTCAGAACAAGCACAAATCTCTACGCCGCTGCCGGTGAGTGCTTGCTGCATCGGTAGCCGCTGAAAACGTATGCCCAGTACCGTCTGCCAGAATCCGAAGGGCGATTCCGACAAACCTTCATCTACCCAGGTTTTGCCTGTGGCTCACCTGAGCAGTACCCGTTTCACCCACGCACCATTGGTTCTACTATGGCTCAGTGTTTTATTGTTCACTGGAAAAAGAAAAAAAGAAAGAAAGAATCGTCTGGGGTGAGGTCCAAAGAAATAAGAGCAACTGCAAGGGAAGAAGGCATCTGAAAATACTCAGCCCATTGTGGGATCGGACGAAATCAGGAAAACGTTTGATGCAAAGTGAGGCTCGGGAAAGGGTCTAGGATAACCTTAGACACACTCGCCTGAACATCGGCTTCCAGGGGGCAACAAAAATAGCCTTCCAGTCCATTTCCCCTTACCCTTGTCCATTTTTTTTCCCTCGAGTGCTTCTCTTTCTAGGATCCCAACTTGAAGTGTTCCTTCTGGTGTCCCTTTGAACTAACCCCAAAAAGGCTACCCACAAAGAAGAACACGCCTTGATAGGAATCTTGTCTAGCGTTGATGCCCATCCAAGTAAAGGTCGTTTGATCGTGTCACACGTACCTCCAAGGCGAGCCAATCCATTAAAGCCTTCCAGTGCTCTGATGCCAAGAAGCAAGCCGATTCTGTAAACAACCCTCTTCTTAGTCTGAATTGCCGGTGGCATCAACATCAGAAACCTCCCCTCCTTCTGCCCACACTCCGGAAACAACCTTGTCTCACGCCACAAATGAACATAGTATAAATCACGTTCAGTTTGTATTTCCCTCTGCCCTGCCCCCAAACCACCCCAGAACTTCAATGGGATTCTCAGCCGCTACGGAATCCCTATATAAAGGGTAGCCAGTGGCTCCATTTCCATAAAAGGTAACACCTTCGTGGGGTTCTCTTTTTCTGAGGGTACCAGGTACCAGTTGTTTCTGGTTTTAAAGCAAAACGGAAGGAAATCCACCATTTTGGGTCCGGAAAGCAGGACACGCCCACACCAAAGGTATATACCCTGTTTTCCCTGGCTCCCGGTGGTTTTCTTTTCTTTTTTCTCGGATCTCGAAAGGCACATGCCGTGGAAGGGCGTGATCGACGCATTGGATGCAATGCTGCTGCCTTGTGCCGCACAGAAGGGAATCCGAGTGCTCAACAGTCGAAGCGTCTCTCGACGTTTACCCTGCGTTGCAAGGAGGCAGTCAGCCCCCGGCTTTCCAAAGCTGTCGGAAAGAATCGCCCATGGATCCAAACCCTCCCGACTTGTATTAAGCGACCTCAATGTATCCGTTTTTTTTGATTGTTGTTGCTTTTTCCAAGCCATGAAAAAAACGCCACCTTGTCACGGCCCGTTTTTGGATCCGGAGAAAGAAGGACTTAAATTTGGATCATGCGAAAGAGGTGGCAACGCAACTTCACCCTGGTCAGAACGTGCGCCGAAGCTCCGAGGATTTCCCTGTCTTTCCCGAGGCTTGGTTTGAAGCGAAACCAAAAGGAAACCGCCATGCGGTGCCTTTCCTATTTGGCCGAGTCCGATGCCACACACAAAGGCGAAAACAGAGTTGGTTTGGACGAACTCCGATGCGGGGAATGCAAGGATTCCAGTTCGTCCTTGGTTGCGATCCCTCCGGGTTCCGTGCCTAACATTCAACCTAGAACACTCATATGGGTGTTTCTCAAGATGGGGCCCCTAAAGTGGTAGGTGTCCTTTGGATTCCTTCTAAATGTCAACCACAGGTTCCCCGATTTGGACTTGCAGCCAAAGCGGAGCCTTCTCAGGTTGCAAGCGCCCTCGCCAAAACGTCAACAACTTTTGCGGGCTTCCCATGTTGGCTTCCAAAAGCACGACCCGATGGCCTGACGGGGTGGTTTCCTGCTGACACACCTCGTCTTGCCGGTCTCAGGGCTCGCCAACCGTAGTGGCGCACAGAAACACCAAAAGCCAGGTGCCTTTGTCGAAACGTGTTTAAACCACCTGCAAAGACCCTTGCGCTTGCCCTAAAAAAACATGCTCCATTTGGGCATGTGTCAAATCGGGATTTGGACCCTGCAAATGGTGGCTTCCCTTCTGGTTTGCCTTTTGAACCAACCTGAACACACACTCCCCTTTGTTTACATCAATTTTGCCCAAGCCCTCCACCAAAGCTGCAAAGAAGAAAAAGTACCTCTGACTGGCAGTTTAAACATGGGATCCAACTCAAAAAAGACAGACCCACCAAGCCCTCCCACTAACCTAGCATCTGGAGGGTAAAAATGCATTACCCAAACCAGTGGGCTCCAAACCAATCAAAGGGAAGCCGACAGTCCCTTGGTGTCCCTTGAATAGCAGCATTTGTGTTTCACTTGAATACCAACCAAGACAAGGTTCTTTTTGAGAAACCCCCAAAAGTGTGTGATTCAGAATCAAAATCCGGTCTCGAACCAGTCCACTCAGACCAGGCAAAAAGACTTAAAAAGCCGGATATCTGTGCCCATGTACGATTGAATCTACCACAAAAGTATCCTGTCCACTGACATGGCCATGGGTCACAAACCCCGTACCCCCAGTGAACATCCCAATCGTTCTAAAATGGGTGGTGCACCTATCCCAAAATGGTACCATTGGTTTTGAACCATGGCCACATGGAACCTACAGGCGGATCCTGGAAGACCAGCGTCCTTCAAAAAAAGGCACCTCCTCATGGGGTCCATGTCAGCAGACCGGCGGGTATGGTTTTTGTTCGCTTCCTGAGTCGATGGTCCGAAAAAAGTGCAAACTTCGTGTTTGCCACTAAACTAGTCCAAGCCCAAAAAGTTTGAAGTGGAACTCAGGAAGTGAGAAAACCACTGCCTCCCTCTCACTGGTGGTTTGGATTCAAATCCCCAAACCAATCCCAACCACCAACTCGGGGTTTTTCTGGACTTCTTCTTGAGGCCCTTGAACCCCCCGAGTCCCCGAGGCCGAGCGGCAGCACTGCAGCAGCACGCCTTTTGCCGTGGGGCAGCAGTCCCCTTGCAGCGAGGCGCAGCCCTCCTCGGGCGGTTGGTGTGGGCGGATTCGCGGGTGCCCGGTTGGTGTGTCATGGATCCCTAAAGCGGGGCTATGTTGGGCTATGGGGGGGCCTATCCCTGGATAAGCCAAGTTGATAAGCCCTTACCTCCCCATAGCTTCTTTTAGGGGTCCATGGGTGTAGGTCACCAACCGTAGGTGGTTGAGTTGGGTTTGCAGAAAAAAAACTGCTTTATGTAGAACCATGGGTTTGACTCTAAGAATCCCAAACCCAATAGGTTATCACTTATGCCTTGCGGGGTGGTGTCCTGCTTGGATGCTCAACTTTAGTAGGTTACATCCACGGTTCTGAATGAAACAAGAATGCTAAGAACCTGACTAAGTTGAACACGGGGAAGTCTTGGGGCTCTCCTATAGACCCAAGGCCCAACTCGTCTGGAGGGAAACCAGGATCTCCGTTCTTGGGGCTTCTGCGCCCCTTTGGTGGGCCATTGTTGGGCCCCAACAAGAGAAACCTGCCCCGAAACAGCGGCCCTGGCCGCCCTGCAAAAATTGGAAGGCGTTGATGGCCACACCACTTGGCGCGGCGTGATGTGGGAGGCTTGGGATCTTAAAAAAGGGGGATGTCTCTTTTGGAAGGTACCCGATTTGTTGGTGGATTTCAAAGGGAAACCAAAAGGAAAACAGCCATTTGTGTTCAAGTTTATGTGTTGTATGATTGTTTTGGGGGGGGAGTCCTAAAAACAAACAGACCCATACGAACGTTCCCCTTGCAGCTGGTAAACTGATAGACCCAATGGGCCCCAAAGGTGAATCTTTGAGGGCCCCCGATGTTTTCTTTTTAGATGTCCGAGTGCTTCCAGTTACCGCAATAGAAGGTAACCAGGGGAAACCATCATGTAAAACCAAGAGGCAACGTTACCTCGTTAACAACTAGAGCAACTGGAAGCACTGGGTATGAGAAACACTCACCTCTTTCCTGGTATGGTCGTTTGCCTTTGCTCTCAAGGGTCGTTCACGCCTCTTAACCAAGGGAAACTCGCAGGAATCGTCAAACAAACCGGAATAGCTGCTGGACGAGGGATGTTTGCGCACAAATTGGGCCGCAACATCCACAGATTCTAGCGGGGCTCCTCAACCAAAACGAAACTTGACTTCCGGCCCTTCCAAACAGATGTTCAAAACGGGGGGGAATACAGAGAACCCTGTCGAGCCCGCTCAAGATGAGTGACCCCTAACAATATTTGGCCTGATTTTGGCTTCCCTTCCAAATGAGAGACACGCATGCGAACCGCGGGAAAACTGAACAGTTCCCATCATGGATCGTAAGCCTCTTGGCATTTGTGAGAGTTTAGTGAGTCCGCTCATAGAGCTCGACTTTTTGGCGGTTTCCTCCAAAGAAGGGTTGGTGACCAACTCAAAAGCAGAAAGCCAAGTTTCCATTTTGGAGCACACCCACCGCTGGGCCATCAAAGCTACCTGACCTTTGGTGACGCTTCTTTCTGTTTTTCTGCGCATTGATCAGCCACGATGCACAGCCTGGCGATTCGATTACGGGCCTTCCAGAGGGAACCTCCTCGAAGGAGGTGGTCCGGTACCCGTTCAAAGTTCATACCCATGGCTTCTGGTTACCTACAACGACTTGCCTGGAACCCTCCCCGCCCCCCCATATTGGTGTGTCTGTTGTAGGTGTCCCCCCAGAATGGCTTAACGGTTTACCCCTTGGTTTCCCGTTACAACCACCAAAAAAGAAACTTCCCTTTACAACCACCAAAAAAAGCCACCAAAAAAGGTGTTCCCTTTACAAACCACCAAAAAAGGCTTCTCTGTACGGCCACCAAAAAACGTGTTCCATTTGCCACCACCAAACAATAGGATCTTTTACGGCCACCCAAAAAAGTGTTCCCTTTGCAACCCCCAAAAGAAGGCGGGTTCCCTTTGCAACCACCAAAAAGAAAAAAAAGTCCAACTCCAAAGAACCGGCCGTCCACCCAGATTTTCAGACCGCGCAAAGCCGCGTGGGCGCTGCAGGCCGCCAGGTACGTGGGCACCGGCGAGGGGGGCGGCGCCGGGGGCGCCGGCGGCCCGTCTGGGGCGTTCTGCACCACCTCGATGCCCAGCCTGCGGGGCCGGGGGCGGGGGGGGCGGATGGGACGACATCGGCGCGGGGGTCAGTCAGTTGAGAACCGAGATCCAAGTGAGAGTAATCTTTGTCTCTCTCTCTCTCTCGCTCTCTCCCTCTCTCTTCATGTGTATATATATATATATATAGATATATAGATATGCATTATGTATATAGATGCATATACATATATATATATATATGTGTTTCTCAGAATTGGGGACCCATCTAAGTAGGCAGGATCCTTTGGTTTCCCCTTAAAACCATCCAAAAAGGGGTCCCCGATTTTGAGACGCCCCCATCTATTATCTTTAGAAAGATGTTAGTGGAACACAAAGTTGAGACAGTGCAGCAAAATCAGAGCTAGATGGTCTGGACAGATTGCAAAGCACCCTGCCCCTTTGAGCACGGGTGTGTCTCAGGAACACGAGATAAAGAGGGGCACCGAGCCTCAAAAAGTGGTTCTTTAAAAAAAGAGTGTCACAACAAAGTGGAAGGGCGGTACCCTCAACGAAATACCTTCAAAATTCAAAAAACAAGTTGCCCCAAAAGGAGATGATTCTACACATGACGGGTCTTCGGGTTCCCTTGGTCAATCTGTTGGATCCCCAAAAGCGATGCCCCCTTTCGGGCTCCCTAAGAAACTGCGCGCGCGCACACACACACAGAACCAGACCGAACCCATTTTCAGAGCACCGAACCTAACATCAAGACACCTTCCTTTAAACAGAACAATGCTCTGCAAAGGGATCCCTCAAAAGCACGCATCTCCAAACAGGGGGGCACCCTGAAAAACAGCAAACAGGGGGTACCCTCAAAAGGCCAATATACCCGGTCCCCTTTAAACGAACCTTCGTGCCTCTCTAAACAACCCCGCTATCCCCCCAGGGTGTAACGGGATGCCATTTTACAGCAACTAAGTAGTAAAGGGTGACGGTGACCTCAGATTAACAAACCCCTGCTTACTGATATTATCAGGTGTGCTACCCTCCAAAAGTGACGAATCCCCACTAAACCCAGGCAGGGACATCCTTTAAAACAGGGGTGTACTATCCGGGGAACGTCCCCGTTTGAGGGTGGAAGAGAATCAGAAACGTCAGGTATCCCCAACAGCCATCCGGAACCCTACGGGTTCCTCTGGACTCTGAAGCCATTTGATACGCGTGAAACATTCTTGGTGACGCTCCGTGGTGAGCGGCGTTCATTGTGACGGTCCCAAGAAGGTCACATCCGGATCCGTCCGATCGCGGCCGCAACAAGCAGTACAGTCCCCGCTGCCCATGATTCGTCCTGGAATCACACTTGCTCCAAACAAAAAAATAAAGGAAAGAAAACGGCGAGGACGCCGGCCGCCAAGGGGGGGCTCCTCATGTCTTTTCTCGGGCTCCATTTAAAACCAACATCCAATGTCCCCCAAACAACTCCGAGGGCTTTCTTCCGGAGCCAAAAGACTCCAAAGACTCAAACCGCCCCTCCGGCCCCCCCTCGCTGGGGGCCCCCGCATGATGCCCAGCGTCAGCAGCAGCGCCACGCCCACCACGCAGAGCAGCGAGAGGCACCCCGTGTGCCGCCGCGCCGCGCGGGTGAAGGAGGAGGTCGGGAACTCCCGTTCCATGGCGCGAGCGCAGCTCCGCTGGCGCGCTCGCGGCGCGCTCGCGTGGCGCTTAGCTGGCGCGGCTGGCGCGTGCTTGGGGGAGCCGGTGGGAGGTGGGCTCGAGGAATCCAAGTTTGGGGGACTGAAAGGGGCAAACAGGAATTCACGGGCTTGGAATGGAAAAAAATGATGCGCCTGAGCAGGGAGAGGTACTTCTGCCCAAGTTGAGCCCGAGTGAGTTAGGGGGGTGGTCTGTACCTAGATGTTCGCATGTGCGGGACATACATATACATAGACATAGACATATGCATTTACATGTACAAATACAATACATACATATATAATATATATATACATCTATTTATATGTACCGGGGGGATACCATTGGGCCCGCGTTGACGCGGCGGTCGCACGCGAGGCTCCAGGCCCTGAGGCTCAAGCTGCGGCCGCCGAAAATTTTGCGCGGCGAAGGCCCCCGCGCCCAACAAGGCGGGCCGTCCTCCCAAACAGAGCTGGTCTCCAAAAAAGTGGTGTTTCTCAAAAATTGGGTTCTTTAAAATTGCAGAGGGAAACCTAAAAAGGGTGTTTCGCAAAATTGGGCTCCGTAGGATTCAGGAAATAAACCAAAAGGAACTCGATAGGGTTAGCTGGGTTTTGAACACGAAGAACCAGGGTTTGGAGTCCCAAACCGTGACTTGTGATTGCTTGGATCCCATCGAGTTTCTCCAGCAGACTTTGGAAGAAAAAGATGAATCCTGTTCTTCAGGCTTCGAGGTTCCGGGGGTGGTCTCCCCCAAACGGTTTTTGTTCCTTTCCTCTTGATGTCCCTTCAAAACAACTCCACAACAAGAAGCGTCACAAAAGACACGCCCCAGTCCAGTCCTGGACTTGGGCGATTTCGCAAACACACATGCTCATGTGGAGATGCTGGGCATTTCTTTGAGCTGAAGCGAAGCCTGGGTGAAGCAAAGAAAAATCTCCAGCTCACCCAAGGCCTCCCAGCCGCGTTTCCACAAAAGGCAAGCCATGCCCAATGCAAAAAGGCTTGCGCAACTCTGGCATTGGCGCCCCATTTGTCGCAACTCATCCGACCAGCTATGTATCTTCGATATTCGGGAATGCAGGGATTGAGTTCAAACATGTTGCACACATGGACGTGCATGGGCGGAGGTCCTCGTTGTGATGAAGTAACAATTCGAGGCATGCAAATGAATGCTACAAACACTAGCAACCAATCACCGCTGCTGCTACGGTCACTATCACAATCACTACCCGGCCCGAACAAGCCAAGAACACACAGGCGACACGTATACTGGAAACAAAGGACAAGACTAAGAAGTACAACCAGAAATCACCGAACGACCCTGAAGCAATAACCAAAACAAGAAGCAACAATCAGCAATCGCAAACAACCCTAGAAGCCACAAACACCCGGCAGCCAATACCAACAAGCACAAATCAACTCGACACATCTGCAGCAGAACCGCCGGCGGACTGTTGTGAGTCGAGGTCGCCACAAGACGCAGGCGGCAGAACTTCTTTGAGTCCAGAATCGGCCATGGAGGCTACTTGGCCACTTTTTAAGTAGACGGAAACCATATGACCCATTTTCCATGGTTGGAAGGCCGCTAAACTACCATGTTTACAAACCACCTATGCAGTATACCCTACCCCTAACGTGATGCTCTTCTTCCTCGTAGTGTGGAACCGGTCAGGCACTATTGCCGCTTAGGCACTGGCGATCCGATGTTTCATTTCTTTCTCTGCAGATGGTCGGATTCCTGTTTGGTTCATGCTCTAATCCGCTACCAAGGTGAAGGTATCTGAGTGGTGACCTTAACTGCTCGCGCGCTTCAAGACGGCTGCGATGCGCCGTGAACTTTTGCGCAAGAGGCAGTGATGGCAGCCAAGTTGCAGGGCCCCGGGCAAATCTGAAACTTGTTTGGACAAATCCCCTCCGACTGCTTACCAACGATCCTCCAGATTTCCGGAAACGGATCAGGAAGGCTCCAATCTCCAGGATCCACGGATGGGTGAACGATCCGGTTTGCCCCCAAAGGGACGAGTGAGCTCGTTATTGACCAAACGACAGCGATTGCAAATGCTGCGAGAAATGTAAGGGCCTCCATATCTACACATGATTATCTTATGACTTGATTCGGTTTTTCAAAGTAGCCCAGAACCCATTCTAAGTATTGAATGGCCCTTACAGCCCTCGTTTGTGGCTTTTTGACGGACAAAGGCGTCCATTTGCATAGAAATCTTGGTTTTGGGTTCAGTGCCGTGTGTCTCTCGCCGAAATCGCGAAATTTGGGCCCCCATGGATTTCGGCTCTTCGGTTGGTCTCCCTTTGTTCCCCAAGCTGACAGAGGGCACCGAGCCGCCGCCCAAAAACGAGCGAGCCGCCCTTTTACCTTCCGTCCCACGTGTGCGAATGTTTGTCGTTTCATTGCTTGATGGTTCCAAAGGAAAGCCAACAGAAATGGCCATGGTTCAAAACCAACGGTACCATTTTGGGATAGGTGCACCACCCATTTTGGTCCATTTACCCATTTTAGAACCTATTTCCCATGGCCAAATCCACTCATTCCGGAAAGTGGCCCCAAGGACACAGCCACGCGCCCCCAGTCCCAGTCCCCAGCCCCCGCCAGCGGCTGCAGTCCGGGGGAGTCCACTGCACCGTACAGCACCACCGCGCCCTCGCTCGCGGCCGGGCGAGCGGGAGGGGGGGGGGGAGCCAAGATGGATCCACTTGGGTCTGTAAAAAAAAAAAAACGGACCCCCCCCCCCCTCCTAAAAAAAAAAAACTGGGTGGGGAGATCTTTTGGTGTCCCTTTAAAAGCCGCAAACAAGGGGTACCCTTGAAAAAATGACGGATATGTTTGACTTAAATTCGGGTCGCAACAAAGTGTCCCTTTGGCGTCCCTGAAAAAAGCAACGGACCCAGCGCCTCAAGAAAAGAACCAGACCTATTTGCCCGGTATCCAATGGAGCCCTTGAACTAAAAAGGAAACTGCATGGAGATTCCCCAAGTGGCCTCATTGCTAAAATGACAGGGCTCCCCTTATACACCATGGCGTATACTACCTTACCACGTTAGGTCGGTGGTAATTTGGAAAGGACTCCCAACTCGCATTTCTCAAAAGGAGGAAATGGAAAGAAAAACGAGGGGGGTTGGCTTCCGTATTGGGAATCCAGGATTAATCAACCCTGCTTGAAAAAAAGGTATCCCATTTTAGAGGGGATCCAGATGAATCCGGCGACAACGCTCCCCAGGGGCTGGTTGCTTTCTGCCCAGGTTTGCTTTGGTCTTGAGTTTTGCAGATCTGACGGCCAAAACAAACGGGGCTTTGAAAAGGCAAGGCTAACTGTGGGTTGCCGGCCCAGCTTCATTGAAGTCACATCCTTAAATTGACCCAACTGGATTAAAGGGAAGCCACCCTCAAAAACATGTATGGAACCAAAGGCTAAAACCTGCGTAACCCTGGCTTGTTAATTTGAGCCACACCCAAACCCTCAAAACGGTCAACTCAATTCATCCTGCCGCTGGCACTTGCTGTTTGGCCCTTGTTCTGTCTCAGAGCCATTTGGCCAACTCTCCCCTCAAATTCTCACCCCTAAGCGAAACTCAATCCAGGGGCCACCAACCAAAGGGAAATAACTGCATATATATATATATGTGTGTGTGTGACTGTCGAAATGAGGGGCGGGGATTCAACCAAAAAGGATGGCTTGTGGTTTTCGGAAATTTCACCCCAGCCCTCAGCCCCCGCCATTCCCCCCGCCGACAACGGCCCCACCTGCCCACTCCGCAGTGGCAGGTCCAGCCCTCAGCCGGACGTCACGTGCGACCGCCGCTGGGACTTCAGCTCATGTTTTTACTTATTGGTTAGCACCAAAAATGGACATGCGCTGCCCCAACACTTGGTGGCTTCCTGAGTGGGTTGGTTAAAAACCGACCAGACCTGATGTATTTTGGTTTTGGACAAACAAAAAAATAGAAGGTATGTGGCAAAATAAGGGGACCCAACAGTTGGTGGCGGTCCGTGTCTGCTCCTTTTGTTTACCACTAAAATTGTCCAGATCCAGAAGTGGCTACTCAACTCGGAAAATGAGTAAAGGGGCAGAATGCCCTCGGTGGTTAAATGGCCATTTTGTAACTATAACCCACTTACCATGGTTGCAAGCCCCCGTTCTTTGGATTCTAGTCATGGTTACCAACGACTTACTAAGTGCCCCGCCTCTTCCAGTACTAAAGGAAGGGCGGCCGCACCGATTTGTTGGGATTGACCCGAACCTTCGCATATCCGCGCTTTGATTGTGGCTATCTGGGCAAATGCAACCTGAAATCGGAGCCTGGGGTGAGCTCGATTTACCAGATCGGCAAGCAGTTTGCCCAGCGCACCAAAAAACGGCTCAAACAGAAGCAACCCCCTGAAGACCTACCAAAAGGCGACCCAAATACCTCAGGCCAAATAACCTTCCGTCAACTGCTGTCCTGAACCTCGGAGCACGCAGCGGAACCAAACAGCGGACCTGCCGTTCAAAAGGTCCGGGCCACCTTTTTGGCCGCCAGAACCGCCACCGAAAGGAGATCTTGCAGCCAGCGAGTCCAGGAATTCGGGGAAGTCGTGCAGCCCTTTGGGCTGGAGTTGTTTTGAGGCCTCCGGCGATGGAAGCTCCCAAGTCCCAGAAGAATTGTTCCTCTCAGTGATGCCAGGTTCGAAGGGATGCCTGCTTCTCAAGTGAAAAGAGGGGTCCAGGAAAAGTCGTCCGACCGGTTCTTGGCCAAAAGGACCCACACAACCACCCGTTTGCCCCGCTGGCTTCCCTTTTCCACACCCCAAGAAGGTTCGAAACAGGGAACTGCATACTGAGGCGACTAGCCTGTTTGAAGCCTAGTGAACCTTGACATGGGCTTGTCTCAAAATGAGGGTACTCTTCCTTTTGATTTCCCTAAAACATAGCCTTCAAGTCTCAAAAATGGTGGGTTTCCTTTTGATTTCCCGAAACATAGCTCG